CCCTCCCTCCCTTCCTTCCTTCCTTCCTTCCTTCCTTCCTTCCTTCCTTCCTCCCTTCCAAACTATTCTCACAGGTCAAATTTTACACACAGAAAACAAATCATTCTGTTTATGTAAAAAACAAACCAGATCAGAATGCTAGTTTATTAATAACACCCAGCACTTGAATTGAAATTTTTCTTTTCACCTCTGGAAAGATGGCAATCTAGAAAATTTTGATATAATTTCATTACTTTAAAGCGTGTCTGTAATTGTAGATCAATATCCATCCCTATTACCTGATTAAGGATAGAGGATGAACAGAGGTACAACAGAAAGTATATTAGTAAATTAAGAACACTAAATTGAAGGTAATATTCCTCAATTTGGATTCTTTCCAGATCTCACAGCCCCAGAATTTTCAATAATAGTCTAGATGCACATATCGGGGGAGAATCTAAGTTGGGGAAATTGATAAAGAAGTCATAGAAGGGTTGCCCTGCATAAAATCAGTATGCCTTAGAATTTCTTTTTGTTGTGCATGATGCCATAGTCTATCATCGATGTCATGGGTGTCAAACTCAATTTCATTGAGGGCCATATCAAGGTTGTGTTTGACCTCAGAAGGATGAGTGGGTGTGGCCAGGGTGGGCATCGCCATCTTGACATCCTGCAGCCCTCTGCCAATGAAAATGGAGCCCGGAAGGGCCATGCAGACAGCAGGTTCTGTTTTCACTGGCAATGGGCTGCAGGAGGCCTCTGCAGCCAAAAACAGAGCTTTCACTGGCAGAGGCACTGTGAGGTGGTCCTCTGCTGTTTCCAGGGGGGGCCCATGGGCCAGATCTAAGCACTCTGTGGGCTGGATCCAGTCTTGAGTTTGACACCCCTGATCTATATGATATTAGAATCTACACCTGCTATTTGCATGGAAGGCAGCTCTTATCAATATGCTCAGAAATTTACCAACCTTATTTTTTAACAGAACAATTCTTTTCAAAATTATACCTTGTTGTAGTATTTTATCTTATCCCAACAGTGATTTTGTTTTTTAAAATGTTTAATAACAGGGAAATGTTATTAGACAGATAATAAATCAGTCAGTCAATCAGTCAATTAAATAAATAAGAAGGTAACAAAAATACTAGATAATTATAGCTATATAAAATCACACTATTTTTGTAAACCACAATAATACACATTTTAATTGAAGTCACTTCATTCTACTGAGGTATTACCAATGTATTTAAAGACACAAATTGGTATTAGGACATTAAAAAACCCAATAAACCTTCCAAAAATGCAATCAGAGACAAAAGTACTAAATAGATGGCTATAGTATTTCTAAACAGTATTTTAATTGTTTTGTACAATACTGGTCTTTGACCAAAATAAACTTTAAATAGATTACTAAAGACATGCATGTATATTACTCAGTGTACCTAAGATTCTGGCACCCATACAGAGAAACTCAGTACAGTATATATTTTCCAGATTACTTTGGTCTCCAATTCCTGGAATAAGAATACACAACTCTTTGAAAAATGTCCAAAGCATAAATAGTACTTACTTATAAAAACTATTATGATCAGGCTAAATTTATCAAGGTCAATATTTGGATTAGAGAAAGTATCACAGAATGTTGTATAGATGATCATCAAGAGTACACAACTGCTGATAGTACCAAATGGAGGCTTCTTTCTCTCAAGCCATTCCTTGATGTATCTTCGGACAATCTGAAATACAAGGAAAAGAACCAACAGGTTGCCTCTTTTCAATGCACACAGGGAGCCAAGTTGGGTATCATAAAATGAATCTGACAGTGGAAAGTCATAAAGAGAACAGAATAAATTGGATGACAGCCACAGTGAATTTCAAAGCTTCCCTGCCATATAACACTTCTTCTGGGGAATTTAACATTTGTAGTGCAACTTCCATTGGGCATCCATAATGAGAATATATTTTCAAGTATGTTCAAATCTATCCTTAATCATGCCAAATGTTCTTTGCTAGCTGTCACTGAGACATACCCATTAAGTCTCCCCAAAGTTTATCTCCTATGTTAATACAAATGGATGTATATAATTATCATAATCCCTGTTGAATCCACAAACAATACCAAGTATAACTTTGGGAATCTTAAAAATCTGACATCCTCAGGAAATCCATGAGAGCAGATAATCAAAACTGATCCATGGAACATTTAAATATTTAAGTAGGTAGTAATGCACCAGAAGTGTTAATTAAATTATAACTCATGCTTGAAAAGCAAAAGTGCATGCATTTTGGGAGCTTAAATAATTGAGAATTTAAAGATCTAGATTTTCTGAATCCAAAAACAAATTCCAATTGTATAGTTCTGCAGTATCAAATTCACACAAGGTAAGTAAATTGACAGTGTTTAATGTAATTGCTCAGATTCAAGACTAGGAAAATAAAATAAAATTAGTTTTTCAATCAGTTTTAATGCTTATTATAATAGCTACAGAATGCTTCGGTAAGTAGACTGATCATTGTGATGTATACCATATTTTAATATAATTAATCACAATATTTTCTCAATTATTTGAATAATTGAGATAGTTACTTATCAAATAAAATTAAAAACAAATCCCAGTTGGCAGTGAAGAATGTTCATAAACAATATCTAACTCAGAATATCATCACCTAATTCCTGTGTGGAGGAAATCACAAGGTATAAGATTTATCTATACGATTTCCACAGAAATAATTAAAGCTCTATATTAGCTTATTCCAATATTCCAGATATTGAGCTGATATCTTGTCATATGTTGTAAAGAACACAACAGACCAAAATGAATTGTCTGTGATCTGAATTTTTTGGTAATCAAATTGTAGGACTTCTCAGGATATGTTTAAACAGAATATCCTTGAGACATAACATAGTATTTTCACGCTAAATGGACAGATCATATAACTGCCCTGTATAATATAATATTAATGTTAATTAACATGAGAAAAAAAATAATTATTTTATCTAAATGAGAAAATCCTAAAATAAAATCAAACAATCAGATTTTAAAAAAGAATATTATCTGACTAATTTAGCTTGAATATCAAAGGAGTTTTACAGTTTGTTTGGCCAAAGCTCTAAATAAATTCATTACCAATTGTATTAATTTGGATGAAGATGAATTTACTAAATTTAGATAGAGATCCTATTAGAAGAATAAATTGAAAATGTGGCAGTCTTGCCCATCTCTTTCCATTTCATTGTTTTTATTAGTTATACCCCATCATTTTAGTGAATAAATATTTGTAGGGAATGAAAGGACAAAGTTACATATTGTAAGGAAATTTATGAGGAAGTTTGTTTTCCAGTGTTAAACCTGCCTGTTTTAATTTGATAGAAATCTGATCCTTTTCCTGCTCTCAATATAATCTGGGTTGTTAAAAGGCATTTTACCAAGTATGAAAAAAATAATTTAAGATATCAGTATTAACAAAAAGGTTAGCATAGAAACTCTAAACTTTTTACTTGAACAAAAGATTTTGCCATGGGATGGGTTAAAATTACTGACGGTCACTGAAGATGGGGATTGGAACAAGACATGGATTTCCAAGCCTACATTCTCATTTTTTGGCCAAATTAAATAAAATTACATCAAAATAATATAGAAGTGATACATGAGTCAATTTAAACTGACATATATAACTAAAATGTTATGTTCTGCCTGGAATAACTAAATCAGAAAATCACAGTTTCTTCTGTGGTGGCCAAGGAACAGAAAAGTCTGGTTTGGTATTTAGAGAAATGGGTAAAATTATCAGTCAGTAATCAAGCCAGATTCAAAATAAAATTTGTTAGGAAAATTCACTGAAAAAAAAAAGAAAATTTAAAGAGTTTGTGATTTATATGTTGATAACATCAATAATGGTAAAAAAAAGTATAAGTAGAGAATTTTATCTTTGAATGAATTATGTAATAGATTCTAGAGTCTATTGCAGCTGAAGAAAAACTCATTTGATATTTTTCAAACAAGACAATCTATATCTTTTTAAAAATAGAGCAACTAAAAAAATCTATTGAAAAGAATTCTATGTTTTACTCACACATACAGATATACAGATTTTGATTATCTAATATTTTTCAAGGTATTTAATGTTTTCCAAAATAAGCTGCAGTCTTAGTGTCTACAGTTCAGAACTTTTCTTAGCATAGTTTGTGGTCGATAGATTGATTTATATATGCTACAAGAAAACAAAATGGCCTGATGTGGAAGGAAGATGGTCACGCAATCTTGCCAACACCTCTATAACTGATAGGAAATGCCTAAGACAAGACAGTCCCTATTACTCTCAAGTTTCAGCCAAGTCTCTCATCCAGATTTAGCAATGCCGCCAGCAACCAATCAGAATGATAGTGTTTTGGGGCAATTCAAAGAAGACACTGAAGCATTTGGTTTGCAAGGGAGAATAATTTTGGAATAAAGATATATTTTAAAATAGTTCATTATGACTGGATTCCCTTGTAGTGAGGTTAGCACTGAGAAGCATGGAAGTTCCAGCCTTCTCCATATTTGGGAGTGGTGGACTGTTGGAAGCAATGTTTGTGGAACCTGATCTCAAATTCAATACAGGCAGCAAAAATAGGCCTGTATTGATTTTTACTTTCTTGCTCCTACTTCCTGAAATCTCAATGAGGATTAAAATGCTTTGGCTTTGACTTCTGGATTGCTTACTCTTCTGTCTATGTTTCTGTCTCTGGCTATAAGTGATTCCCCCTTGTCATTAGATCCCAGAAGTCCAACAACATTTTTGACACAAAATATGTTCCTTCTCACTGGCCACTATCTCACAGTTTCCCACCACTTCCCAGGACAACCCTCTCATACTGGCTTTATTGCTTTGTCTAAAAAGCTGGAATCTAAAATTTTATCCTGGGCCTTGCCCTTTTGGACCTTAAACAGATAGAGAAAAATGTAATTCAAAACAGCCATTACTTTATTCATGTAAAACAGTAGGATGTTTCTCTCCAGAATGTGGGAAATCTGTCTTGAAGAAGAATGTTAAAAAAACAAGCCTTTGTAAGCTGCATATGAGTTACAAGGAAAATATTTCCAAGATTTAGAATATGGAAAAGGTCTTGTGTAATCCTTAGCATCTTTAGATTCTGTCTTCCCTCTCTTTAATTTTACAGATAAAAAAACAGCCAACATCTCCTCCTGTAATGGGCAACACTTTTGACATTTTTTTTTATTCATAATACTTCTGCAAGTACTGTATGGAGGCAGTGCATTTTCCACCAGAGGGATTTCCTTGCTGATCTCCCCGTGTTTAACTTTGATTGTCCATTTTTGTCTGAAAACAATAACAATCAATCTTTTCCCCTTCCACAAATATTTAACATCTTCCTTCTAGTCTATGGTGTTATATTTGATGTATTCTTTACACCAATTTTTTCTTTATTCCCCCATATATACCCATCAACATTCAATTGGATTTTTGTAACAGTATACTACCAAACTTGCTATTGATTTGGAAGAGTTCTGGTGTGCAAATTTATAGTTATCATCTTAAGATTCATGTACAAAAGATCTCCACCCGAAAACATACAACCACCTGGAAGACAATTTGGGGGCACTGAGTATTGTAAAAGAATTCTCTGTCTTCTCACATATTTCAATGCCTTCAAGCTTCTTTCCCTCACATAGTAGGAATAGAAAATGATTAGGTTCATATAAAGGACAAATATGTGTATACACTTGTATATAGAGGAAAGCAGAGGAACATGGAGAAAATTCTAATCCTGGTCTACTTGCCTCTAGTCTGTATCTACAATGAGTTGCTCAAAGAGAATTTAGTCCTTGACATCCCAAAAACTTCATATTTATCTACAGGATCATAACAGAAAACCATTTTTAAAAATAGGCAGCCTGAGAAGCAAATGAAGAAACCAGAAGTTTTATTTTGCATTAAGAAAAAATACAAATATTAATTCCACATTTCCAAACTCAAACTCTCATAATTTGAAGCCTTAATGCATAACACTGTTGGGTGCCTTAAACACTTTGTATAAGTATAGTATTTCCTCATGCAATATGCATTGCTTAAAATGGTTCTTCTACAGTAAAACATTATGCTATAAAGATAGCTAACAAATTTGGATAGATGATAGCTATAGACAGACAGACAGAAAGACAATAGATAGATCTCACAGATACTCATAAAAATAATTCCAGATGCTGTTTCCAAATGTTTGAAGCAATGGAATGGATGTTTAAGGCCTAATTGCTAGGTGGAAATGAGACTGAGAAGAGGTCACCACAGACCAGATGTAGACAATTTTGTATAAGCAATAAACTTTTTGATTCAACACATGGTTCTCTTAGGAGTCCTGAGCATCTGCTTCTGACCCTGCTACTTTCTAAGAGAGATAAAATCTCTAGAGACTTCCTATCTCTGGATTTAGAGGTTGGAGCCAGGTCTGAGGTAAGAGATATTGGGAAAAGGCAAAAACCAAAGAAAAATATAAATATGAAAGATTCTATCACTGTAACCAGAACATAATTTTGAAATTGCAGATTATTATGTGTGCCATTATGTTTTCCATTCAGCTTTAAAATCTAAGCATTGTTGTGAATTTCCCTGATGTGGGACTATATTATGCATATATTATGCATATAGCACAGCACTTGGAAAACTTAAACATAAAGCAAAGAATATAATGGTTTTTACCGATGTTCCTCCATAGACAGTTCAGACATGGATGTTT